CTGCAATTGCTGCTCTGTGGGATTCCCGAGCCCTTTCCTCCAGCCCAGAGGAATGGAATACTCTGGAATACATTCAGCAGGCTCCCATCAACTTTTTTGTGAGACCCCACCTGCAGAGCTGCCTCCAGCTCTGGGGACCCCAACACAGGAAGGATGTGGAGCTGCTGGAACAAATCCTGAGGAGGCCACAAAGGTGCTCCCAGGGCTGGAGCCCCTCTGCTCTGGGGACAGGCTGGGAGAGCTGGGGGGGCTCCCCTGGAGAAGAGAAGGATCCAGGGAGACCTCAGAGCCCCTTCCAGGGCTTAAAGGGGCTCCAGGAGAGTTGGAGAGGGACTGGGGACAAGGGATGGAGGGACAGGACAAGTGGGAATGGCTTCCCACTGCCACAGGGCAGAGTTAGATGGGATATTGGGAAGGAATTCCTCCCTGTGAGGGTGGGTAGGCCCTGGCACAGGTTGCCCAGAGAAGCTGTGGCTGCCCCATCCCTGGAAGTGTCCAAGGCCAGGCTGGATGGGGCTTGGAGCAACCTGGGCTGGTGGAAGGTGTCTCTGCCCATGGCAGGGGGTGGGACTGGATGATCTTCAGTCTTTTCCAACCCAAACCAGTCTGGGATTCTATGGTGACTTTGTCAGGACAGCCCTGGGACATGGGGAGCTCTGGAGATGCTTTGCCTGGACTGAACCTCCCCTTTTCCCAGCACCAGCAGGATGAGGTGACAGTGGCAGTCCTGGGACTGGCCCTGAGCACCCAGAGGCTTTTTGGGGTGATCTGCTGTGCCAAGGACATCTTTGTGTGTCCTCCTCCCCCAGATCTATCCCACTGAGCCAGGATGAGGCCAAAACACGGGATCAGAAGCAGTAAGGAGCTGCCAAGCTGCTGCCTTGCTCTGCTCTCAGGTGTGCTGTGAAATATTTCCCATTATTGGCTTTAATCCCTCAGGCCCAGGGGCATGGGGTTTCTCTGGTGACCCCAAATACAGTTTTGGCCATCCCTGATGTCCCTGGGCCCACAGTGCACACCTCTACTGCCACACAAGAACCTCCATCACCACAGCAGCAGGACTTACCCTGCTGTGGAGAGAAAACAGGACAGGTCTGTGTTCTCCCAGAGCCCTTAACCCCAGACCATGTCCTGCTGGGCACCAGAAACCTGTGCTCTGTCCTAAAACTCACAGACAACACCTCCAACAGGAACTGGATATCTCTCTAACCAAAAATTCATGTCTTCATCAAAAGAAGCCCCACTGACAAATCAAAATCAAAATATTTCCTCCCTCCTGAAGCTGATGAACTGAGCCTGCTCAGGTCCTGCAGGCAGCCCCCTCCACCTGGATTTAACACATCCAGGTAAGAAGCTGGAGATCCTCCCCCACAGGGATGTCTCAGGAACAGGTATGAGCAGCTCCTGCAGCTCCCTCTCCCAGCAGAGACCCCCAGCATCCATCCATCCATCCACACATCCATCCATCCACCCACCCATCGATCCATCCATCCATCCATCCATCCATCCATCCATCCACCCACGCATCCAT